GTATAAAAGCAGTCATGTAGATCAGACGTTTGATCGCCAGTCCATGTAGGGCATCAGTGCCAACAATCCCGCCATAGGAGTGCATCACGGCAACAACAGTCTTCCCATCGTCAATGAGCGACTGTGCCGTCTGACGGATGAGCGCCACATCATCTGCCAGCGTCTTCGTCGGGGGTATATCATTGTTGCAAGTTAAAAGGCGAGGACAGATTGCTTCGTAGCCCAGGTCTTCAAACGCCCTGCAGAACGGGGCATAAAATTCAGGATGATGCCATGCCCCGTGAATGACAAGGATGGTAGGGCGAGTAGTGGTCGTAACAGTCATGTTGGTGTGCAAAGTTTGTCTCAAACGTGGGACAGAGGTGGAAAGGTCCTGCAAGTAGGTGTTATTCGGGGCCTTGAAGACTATTTTATCTGGGACAAATTGGTTCTTAACACCTTGTGGGGCAGCAACCCCGTCGACGATCACATGCCTGGAAGCACCCAGATGAGATATTAGTGTAGTCTACTTTACCGGTATTAGCTAGTCGCCTGTTAACTTAATGTCCCTAATTGAAAGCCCCTCCTGCAGTGCTACGCTACTACTAAACATCATGCTATTGTCTTTACTAAGCTACTACTAAGTTCACCTGGTGCTATCTAGGACTCCATGTCATAGAAGAATTTATGGATTTATAACTCAGAACGCTGGGTTATGAGTACTAGATGTCCGATCGGCATGGACCTTTGTAACAGTACTATATATGTTTTGCTTGAGATATATTCTTTACTTCTAATAGTATATATAACCTACAGTCGCTTATAAACCCATGTCAAAACTAGGTTATACCTCGCTTAACTATACAACTAGTGCCGATCGAATGTTCAGAGCACAGATCAATTGTTGGATAAGCCACCGAGCAGAAGTCGATGAGGATATGCATATTGATCTACCGCAAATGTGCCCACACCGCGGGTTGAACAGCACAAACTGTCACTCAGAAGGTAAAGGTTTAGCACAATTACAGGGAGTGCCCTATAACATAAGGTACTCGTCTCTCACCTCTATCAAACTCGTGGGGATTGAGCTGACTGACAGTTTGTTCTCCACTAGACTGTTTGCAAGTACAGGTTTGGCACTATCGGGATTTTCTTTCTATGAATGGAGGACGTATATTTGTTTAAGTACCAACAGCATCTGGTCGTATGAATAATACCTAGTCCTATCACTACTTCCCCATGGCGACGTGCCTGGAAATACTGGAGAAAAACAAATAGATTAATAATAGGCGATCTTATAGCTAAAGGATTCTCCGCAAATTTCAAAATCACAATAACTAATACCGACAATCCCAAAATAAAAGCCAGGAAATTAAATCCAAAGAAAATTAATGAATGAATAAACAACTCGCCACTCCCGCGAAGAGCCTATACAAGCGGGAACAGGCAGACAACCTCCACACAAAATCTAAGCAACAACAACAGTCTGATTGAGCAGGTCCAAGTATGGCCACGCGCTCGCCTGTAAATCGACCAGATCAGCTCTTTAATCTCATCGATGCGATCGTGGGAGGTTAGCACTCACCCCGACAATTGCCACATGGGCGACGTTGATCTGTGCGTCTCCCTTGGCTATGGAGTCTGGAATCGTCACAGTGAAGTTCTGATAAGGAGGCGAGCTATCGTGGTAGTTGGGCTTGAAGGGCCCGTTATACAGGAGAGTGCCCAGTGAGTCCTTCGGAGCCATACAGGGTCTTGAGGGGCAGGATGCCACTCCAATTGCGACACCCATCTCCTCGGAGCCAGTTAGGGAGTTCTAATACGGCAGTTAGTCTCGGCTATAGCTGTGGGATGTTGCTCCGAGCTTACCGGGCGCTGAACCTGAACGACTAGATTTTCTCCTGCAGTGATCTCCTGGTCTTTCTTGGGAAGTCCGATGAACGCATTCTGCGCCGAGACGGCGGCGGCAAGAAAAGCGATAAAGTAAGGGGCCTTCATCTTGTTGATATTGACTCAATGATAGTAAATAATTATAGCAAAATTGAAGAGATATTAAGCTGGTGCTTGCGATTCTAGTCTGGACCTTACTTCTTGATGTTGGTCGAAGTCGAGGGAGGCAGAGGAGGTTTTTATGCTGTTGAGAAATGGGATACAGGCCAATGTTAGGGGCACCCCCACTGGACGATAGTGATTCGTTAAGTGTCTGCAAGTCTCAGAGCGGCGAGCGAAGCCACGATTGTGGTTGGCCTGAAGGACTCAGAATCCGAGGTAACCGAAGGTTGAAAATCCCCGACACTGCCGAGATCGCCCTATTCTCGCCCCATGTTTGGTCAACCCCATGAAAAACATGCATATTGTCTGTAGGGCCTGATGCTAATAATACCATCTCCTTCTGAAGGAGCTCTCCTCTCTTCCTTCTACGTAGACTGGCGGTCAGACCCATTTCACCTGTTGAGGTTTAAAATTATCTTTTTGCGGATTCGAACCTTGTTCGTGTGGGTCTCTCTAGAACGTGGCCATTTGCGAAAGACTCGATCAATATCTGTATGACTTATTGGAATTCTTAGCTACGAGACAGAGTATACGACGACCATTAATAGGTATCAAGAGTGACAGGTCAGAAGAGAGGCTATGGGTTTGTTGGACAAGAGAAGGGACAAGTCTTTGTTTAGAGCTAAGGAAACGGCAGGGTGCCTGAACTAGCCCTAACCAGTCACACCACGACAGACTGGAAAAGGTGATCGATGGTCATGCCAGAGATAGCCCGCCATTATATTCTCCAAGCATGTCATGTTGCTTAATTAGGAGCTTAAAATAACAATTTAATCTCCATGCAGCGGCATCAACGAGATATGACGTCATACGTCCATGTTACTCTGGAATCCACTCTGCAAATCAGCTCTTGACAGCGCAATGCACGAAGGATTACGCTAGAGGGATAGTCGAACGCTACAGGACTAAATATAAGGATTAAGACGTAAATTAAGATTATGAAGTACTAAGTCATTACTCCTATAACACCATGCTGCTCTCGTGATTTACCTAAAAGCACTCTCCACTATCTAATCAGCAACACGTCAGTTGTGTGATGTCCAGCATGATCATTTTGTTCATGTAATAAAAACCTGATGGAGTGCTCTCTATCAGGCAACTCATGCCCGGAGGATTCTCAATGTTAAAATAATGACTCGCTGCCTACGAATGCCGGATCGAGCAGTTCGCCTTTACGTTCAACTGTATTCAGTGTCTTAGTATCTGACCATCATCCACATACTGGCGATGCGCTCGCCCCATGAGACACTCGCTATTTATAGCAATCAAAGACACAGCGAAACCGTAGCATCTCGGATTCAATCCCAGCCCGGATTAAATGCTGCCTAGACAAGTAGCTAGATGTGTGACAGCGGTAACCACCCGGTTCATGGTACAAGGGAAGAACCGGTCACACCGCGGATAGAATGGGCGGTTCCAGCCCCTCTGAATGTTTCTTGTACATATCACATACACGCGGCCGGCCTGAGGATTGCACAATTTTCACGGAGCAAGGCGGCAGGGTCCGCAAAATCGAGGTCGTTCCTTAAATGCAGTGTAACAGCTGCAGAGCTTACATACTCCGGAATCAGTGCACACTGCCGACCCACGAGCTTGTTCGTATTAGTATCTAACTGAAGGTTTGTGGCTGTGCATAACAGGGCTAGCAGTCTTTTCATACCCTACCACAGTAACCACATGGTAGAGTAATCTCAGGCGATATCCGAGTAGATCTAAGTACCGATGACCCACCTAGCCATCGTAGCCAACCATAGTCAATAGCTCTTTTATATCCACGCTAATTTTCGAGTCACCTACCTCATTAAGTATAGCGTTGTAGCCCCCTAGTCTACATTGCTTGGAATTTCAATAAGTTCAGTCAATCAAGCCCTGGTGGGTTCCATGCTCCCAGGAACATCTAGAACGCATCAGCGGTAGAAAATTTGCCGGTCTACCTAAGGGGATGAACGCTAAGCTTCGAACCACTTGCCAAAAGTGGCAATTAATTAGAGCACCCTTAAAAATTGGTACTGTCTAGCACACGGCTTTCTTTGCAGTGTCCAGTAAACAGAAGTAGAGGTTTAGAGAGGGAAGTCCTATATAACCACGGATCCTGCATTTTGCCATTGATCAAATCTCTGTTTCTTGCTGCTCCATCATCATTGAATTGTATTCGAAGAAAGCCGACTACCACACAATGCATCTGACCGGGAGAGATGGCATATCAATTCTGCAACTTATCGTCTATGTCCCTTCCCTGGTGATCATATCCATCGCCTGTATGAGGCATGGTTTTCGCCGTTCTGCAAGCTGGGTTCTTATTCTGATATTTTGCCTCCTTTGCATTGCTGGGTCTGCCTGTGAATTATACACACGCAGCCATCCATCGAAAGATATTATAATAGCGGCCATTGTTCTTGACTCATTGGCATATCGCACCTGATCCTTGCCGCTTCAGGATTGCTATCAAAACTGTAAGAGATTGACAGGCCTTTCTTGCTTGCCACTCGCTCTGTGAAGAAAAATTGAAAACGGGGAAAGGATAACACCAACATATCCGTGAAGCATGTACTTGATTCGAAAGGAATTAGAAGTTACCAATCAGTCAGTCAAAATTTATTAACCGGTTAGAGCCTAACTATTGAACGTCTAGCTATGCAGGTGCTTCACTGGTGGAGCAGAATTCTGGCGCAGAATGCCTGAATCTCACACAAAATAACGATAATGAACGAAAAGCTTTAAATCACAACTAAAAATGGGTGCCACAGCGCCGAAATGTCTTCCTTTGTAAACCATCCTTGTGTCTGCGGCCATATTCTCCCCCCCTCCTCCATGTCTTGTTTATAATCTGTTATGCGTCTATTACGCAAAGATAGACTCTCCCCGACTGGGAGTCGAACCAGGTCTCCCGCGCTTGTTCTCTTCTGAGATGACAAGCTGAAATCATCCGTTAGACCATCGAGGAATAGAGCCCAAAAAAAAGGACCTTCTCCCCGGAGCCGGAATAGCCAGCGATCTTCTTATAATAGTGGTATATTCCCATTGCAGTCAGACGACATATCCAACTAGGCCATCAGGGGTTTGGATGTGAAAATAGAAGTTACCCTCGAGCCGAAGCTTTCGCGTCTGGCAAACATCGTTGTAAGCGCCTCCTCGTCCGATCCTAACCACTCAAAATCCACGTCCCGTGTTGCGATTTGCCTTCGCTCAGTGAAGGTTTAAAATGCATTCTTAGGCTGCCGAGGTCCCTCCTACTAGGTCATTTAAGACCGTTCATGCTGAGGTGGTATAGTGGTGCCGGTACCCGTGTACCGATAAATATAACGGTATGCCCTCTTGCTGCTCCGTGGCTATATATTTTCATGCCCATTCAGCTAGGATGCCAATGGCACCAACATTGTACCTTGTACACATTATCCCAACATATATCTGCAATCCAAAATCTCGATTGGTGCTATTCATTTACCACTTCTACATTTATTCCAACAATAATTGCACTATAAGATACACGATTAAAATCGTGTCCGTATGTAGACGGACTCGTTCGAATAAACCATAGTCAGGGGACACTGTACTCAACGAGGACGAAGAATACTCATAAAAAAATATATATATGAGACACGGCGCGTTTGTCATGGCGATCACGCTCTGTGGCCTTCAGTAGAACCTATAGATAGATACATGTGGTCCCAACACTAACAGCCACCTAGATCGTAGTCGAGAGCCCTTGCAGCATCCAAAACAATAATGGAACACCAGCATGTCAATATCTCATTTCATAGCGATTATTTGGTGTTGAAGCCACACAAAACTGGTTCTTCTTTAATCCCAAGGAAAATATTATGGACAAATTGAGCACTTTGAGCTCGTGGTTACTTTATGTATAGCACCGAACGACAGGCACCCCATTTGGACTTCTCTTCCAGAAAAGAACGCGTTGGGATGATAAATAACTGCACATGTTTCATAGGGCAATAAATATCACCTGATTTTCAACGGTTTTCTCAAAACCTTCGCTGAAGTTTCTACAGCGGAGCTCCGAAGCATCGAAACTGCTGAGCAAGGGAGGTGATCGCAGTCAATAGTTCCAACGAAGACGCCGATCTCTATCCCCTAAATTTGGGTCTTAGATCGCGTTTTTGAGTCGTATTATCAGCAATACCCTTTCTCTGAGCGATTCCTTGGAGCTTGACTGAGGCAATGGCGTGATGGATTATATCATGGTGATTTTACAGTCGGCTACTCAATCACGACCGAAATTGATCATACACCGTCGAATTGGTACTAAATTAGCCACCTGGGTTTTGTGGCGATGAGGCGGGAGTTGCCTTCTCCGTGAGACATCTGTGGGGCAAATCATCGGGGTTGTGAGACTAGCTCATTGACTAGCGAGATGGGGAAGCTTAGAATGAGGAAAAGCCGTGCCGATCATCGCCTAACTTTCTAACCGACATGGGGCTGCTCCAGAGTCCCAAGGGTCTCCAGCATACTCCGGAAGTAATGTGAGGGAAGAGTTGATATCATCTTAGATCCAACTGGGCTGTGATTATTCCTTCTACAAGACATTGGACTTCCACTAGCCCAACTCAAGTCCGCACCATTGTACCCTAAGACTAGATTATTTATGCGAGTACCATGCAACATTCGGCTAATAGAAACGCAGTAGTTATCCGAGATCCGACTCTAAGAATAACGATGTGAGACATTCTCCACACCATCCACCGAAGCGATTGCATCAGGGATCGATGCACCAATATCCTCCCCAATAGCGCAACGCTACAGCCTCACGAGCTCGTAACAGCATCCGAGCATCTCATTGCGACATTTATTTGTTTTTGAATATAAAAACCCGCGAACCTCCCCCAAGTGCGAGGAAAATCATCAACCAAGACATCACTCTACGAAACATACAAACCACTCTCAACCGTCACAATGAAGTTCACTCTCGCCGCCGCTTCCACCTTCATCACCGCTGCGCTCGCAGCCACTCTCCCCAAGTCTTTCACTCTTGTCGCTGACGGCGGCAACACCGTCCTCACTGACAACAGTATGTACCCCCTACCCCAACCCTTCAGTAGAAATCGTGACTAACATCAAATAGCCAACGCCATCGTGGACGCTTCCCAGGCTAACACTCTGGAGATCCTCCGCCGTATGTCTCACGCACCCAGTATAATACTACACGAACCAAACTAAAAACATACAGTGAAAAGCGAGGACGGCAAAACCATCACCTTCACCCAACAAGCCCTCCCCCCCACCTCTTGGCAGAACCTCTATGCCATCGCGGGTAAGTCTGAGCCTCTTGGCCTGACCACTCCTCATTCTGCTGCCATCCCCGACGGCGCTGTGCTCAATGGCTGGGGTATCACCGACGACGGCTACCTCACCTTCAACGGCCAGAACAACTTCGGTCTTTCCGAGGACAAGCACCAGATCTACTTCCTTGGAGAGGACGCCACTGTCCCCAAGGTTACTCTCTGGGTTAAGGAACTCAAATAGGCTGGTGCGTTCTGTGATTTGGGTGCTCGATGACTTGAGGTCATCATCGCATGTGGATATAGTCTAGGCTGGTATTGGACATATGGATAATAGTAAATAATTCAAATACTTCCATGACATCATTCTTCGTGTGTTTTGTATATCAGTAGACTTTTCTTGGGTAAAATGGACAAGGTTTCCTGAGGACGGTAATGCATTGAAAGAATTGGGAGCGATGATGGAAGTCATGCTCAAAAATAGGTGGATAAATACCTGGTCACGTCCTAAAACTGTGGTAAATGTATGGTGCTCCTAAAATAATCGACATCTATCATCCATCGCGCGTGCCTTTTCGCATTTTATGTTGTAAAGTTATCTAGAGTTAGATTCTACCTAATCTGGGCTAGCTATCTAGAATTTAGACGTGGCGTATCCGAACTATGACTCCTCATCTTCTGGTGACGACCGAGTTCACCACAAAGAGCAGGACATAGCTAGGTACCTCATTCCGTCTCGAATGACTTCTCATCCCATCCATATTTTCTCTTCAGACGACCCGCAAAGTAAAGAAGTCTCCAACCCTCGATACGGGATTGATGCGGTCGGTGGAGCGTGATAGACTTTTGGACATTGAAGCCTTCAGGTGGAGAAAAGGTATAGATCGACCCAGTCTTTGGCACAACAGAGAATTGCATGTGCGCCATAGCTGCTTGGAACGCAGCCCAGGTGATTGAGCTCCGTGGCCTCCGGTTGGAGAATAGGGTCGAAAATACCTCTAAGGAGGATGGCTTTACTTTGAATGCTTGGGATGGCGCTGCAGGTTCTGGTTCCGTTGCGGGAGCTGCTGTTGGGGCGATACTGTACACAGATGAATGTGGCGGGCGTGTTTTGGTCTTTTCCTTGCGCTGTTCAATTTGGATTTCCCGATTGGGCGCTTCAGGAATTGACGAAGCAAGCTCAGCCGGTGCTATCTGCTCGTTCTTCTCCTTCTGCTGCTGAGCTTGATTCTGCAGATCTGATAAGCATTCTTCGTTTAGATCCTGATAGAGGAAGCCAATATCTGGCCCTGCTTTGTTGGAAATGAACTCATCAAGGGTGGTTAGCGCGCCTTGGGCCATTCCTGGCTCCATAAGATTATCGATTGGCACTGCAAACGCCGATAAGTCAACCTCAGACTTTAGCGGGTCAAGTTCAGACCCCAGTTCCTTCAGTCGAGAAATATAAGTTTGGCCCTTCTTTGGATTCATTGGCGGCATGGGAAGAGACGTCGAGAGACACTGGACGAAATTGGTTGTTACAGCAAGATAGCCGAAAGCGTCAAATTCGCTCTCTGCCATCTTATCTTGCTCAGCGGGGTGTGTTTGATGGAGGTCGTCTAACTTTCTAACCCATTCGACTGCCCGGGAGGCATTCGTGTCGGTTTGGCAAAGGCGAAGTATGTAATTGAGTTGCGGATCGGTTCTGGTAAGAGTGTCCGGCTTGGTTTTCATCGTCACACGCGCGGTGCCATTATCATATACACCAGAGACACGCTTGAAATGCTTATCGCCAGAACCCATTTGGACGAAGCGCTTGAAAACCCGCTGGACTCGTTGGTACTCGAAATGACAGACGTTTGCAAGCTCCTGGAGAAAGGAACTTCTGTAGGTCCGGTCGCTTGGTCCTGTAACCAGAGCCTGGAGTAGTTGATGAATATACCCCCAGACTGCAGCACCCACCACGGCGTTGTGGATCATCTCGAAAAATGCGATGTTAATATATTTGTCTGTGATCAAGGGCAATCTTCGGCCTTTCTCGTCTGCGACCAGCTCGGGTCGACTGAAAAACCAAGCATTAACAGCGTGAGCAAGAAATTCGGGCTCAGTCCGACATAGAAGTACATAATCCTCCAGAGCTGACTTCTGGTCAAGAGAAAGAGCAGCAAGGTCTTCCAAGGAAAGCTTTTCTGGCTTCTGGTCGATTGTAAGTTTAGACATAGCCTCACGTGCCGCCTTCTCTGACTTTTTGGAGCGCCCTTTGGTCTCAACGGTAGAACCCGCTTCAAGAATGTCCTGGATCACGATGTTCATGGACGTTAATAGGATAGACTGTCTCTCCAGGATAAGTTCCCCCGTCGACTGAGGAACAATCAAACCGGCATCCACCCCAACTTTCATCATAGCCATTGTTTCTTTATACTTCTCCCGGTCAGAGACTGTAAAGGATTGTCCATATCGTTCTTCGTCCATGAACAACGTAAAGCTATAGCGAAAGGGCTCAACATGTTTAAGACCATGGACCTGCATGCTCTTCAATATGACCGCTGCATCACCAGGGCCACCGTTGACACCTTCGATGTACTGCTCACACAAGGACTTCGTCGCGCGATGTTTCAGGCAATCCAACAGATAGTCGGAATCCGGATTGGTGATATCTCGCAGATTCCAGTCAGGGATGAACTTGTAAACATCGCCTAAGGATCTATCGCTAGGCGACTTCAGCATCTGTCCTTCGGCAGCACCGGCTCTGATGACCTTCTCCCGTTGTCCTTTGCCAAGAGAATGCCATATTCCCTCGATCTTCGGTCCATGAAGCTTATATTTCCGCACAAGATCGCGCT